CTTGGCACTTGAAACATCTCTTCCATGCACTACTTCCTTTACTCGACCCTTCCTTGTTGGGAATATATTTTTGAGGCGAAGAACTCCTTTCAGCAGTAGCTCTGAATTCCTTTCTAAGAAATCTTGATTGAAACTTCGAACTGTCACCCTTTCTTTTACATTGTCCTTCCACCTTCAAGGACAGTTTGCACACATCTTCATAAGACCAATACTGTTGTAGGTATACAACATCAGAAATTTCATCCCGCAATCCACCTAGATATCGAGCAATCACTTGTTCATCTTCTTCGACTATGTCACAACGCATTCGAAGACGATCAAATTCAGTGGTGTATTGTTCCACCGTAAGGTCACGTTGCCTGAAATTGTGATACTTAATAAATGCCTCTTGTCTGTATTGAGTAGGCAAAAATTTGTGTTGCAACAATTTCTTCATCTTATCTCATCTTTGAATCTTAGACTTTCCGTCTCTGATTCTTTGTTTCTTGACATGTTCCCATCATATTGAGGCATGTTTCCTCAATTTGATTGCCACTAATTTCACCTTTTGCTCATCTGTGGGGTTTTTTAAATCAAAAACCCTCTCGACGGTGTGTAACCAATCGATGAATACATCAGGGTGAGTTGATCCCTCAAATTCTGGAATCTCGATCTTCATCCCAAAATTGGATGTGAAGGGTTGATCACCGATTCGACCTCTCCTTGGTCTTTCGCTGTTCCAATATGGATTTTCGTCCTCCTCTTCCTCTGGAGATGACAGTTCAGATTCTTGTCTCCCTTCTGACCCGTGCAACTGTGCCTCTGCAAGCAGTTGTTCGAGTTCTTGGATCTGTCTGTCCTTTTCCTCAATTTCAGCATCTCTCGCATCAATATAATAATCGTCATCAGTAGGTTGACCGCGTCCTCTGCCGCCACGACCTCTTCGTCCACGACCACGACCATGACCTTCACGATTTTCCTGCTCAGCCATCTTTAAGGCAACCTGAGCTTTGATACCAAATGATGCAAAATTATTGGGAAAATAGGCTTTCAGGAAAATGCAGAAGTTTTCTGCTATACTATTATTCTTTTACAATCAAAAGTCCTCCTTTCACATCCTTCTAACAAGCCTTTTAGTTACAGGCAATACAAAAAGTAACTGACAATAAATGACCATCAACGGTCTTAAAACTAACACAAAACGGAAATAACCATAAACCAAACATAAAGTCATGCAAACTGAAACGTCTGCAATTATTAAAATTATAAAAGGCCTTAAAACTAAAACGTCTCCAATTATAATAACTTATGGTGACTCAAGTGCATCAACAAATTTTAATTCTTTGAGCCGACTATGAGATTAATCCCGAGTCAGGATTTAATTACAGTTAAAATTCTTCGTCCTTCTTCAAAAATATATTTAGTATGTTATCAACTAAGCTACACTCATTGAGTCTATAGGTGTAAATGAGCTTCTACAAGTTCAGCGGCAATTCAGTTCACCAAGTTTCAATTATTTTTTAGGGTAAATTATATAAAACCACCTCCTAGTTTAAGTGTTTTTTAAAAAGCCACCCTGTAGTTTCCATTTAATCAAGTAAACCCCTTAACTTTCAAATTGTAACAATTAAGCATATTTATTAATTTTAAGACCAAAATATCCTCATCCATCAACAAAATTGTCGGTCACATTTCTCTCATACCATCGCCGCCCACTAACAACCACATGCCGCCGCCACCCATTTTTGGCCACCACCTTATGGTGTTGGATTTTTTGTTTGTTTAATGATGATTGGTGGGAATTGTGCGATAATGTTTTCCATTGCAAATAGAACATTCCACCGTGTTCAGATCAGGCATCCCATCCACCATTTTTTGTCCCCTTTGATGTGTTTTGATTATCTCAACCTAAGTAGTGAAATTTTTCTGAAGTACATAACATAATACCCAGTTAAAAATTCCATCTAAAAAAGACAAAGAAAAACAACTTCAAAGATAATTTGGTTGCTATCTCTTTCAATTTTTTTGGCAATATAACACGTTAGGATTAACATTTTTTGGAAATATTTTCGGTGAGGGTGATTGAAGCTTGGCAACAACGGGAAATTAGAAAAGTTGAAAGGTGATGGCTGGCAATGGCCGAAGGTCAACGGAAACAGTGGTGAACGACGAGTTGAGAATGAGGATATTTTGGTCTTAAAATTAATAGAAATGCTTAATTATTACAATTTGAAAGTTGAAGGGGTTTAATTGAATAAATTGAAACTAAGGGCGACTTTTTAAAAAACACTTAAACTAGGAGGTGGTTTTATATAATTTACCCTATTTTTTATTATATCTAAGGACTCTCCCAATTATTATTTCTATAAATTAGGAACAGAGATTTTCATATTTGAGCCAACAAATGTTGTCAAAATCGAGTTTCTACGTATAAATGAAAAGAGATGGTAGAAACATAAATCGTAGAAATGACACGAAATATAAAGTTTCTATTACTTGATGTCAAGCTATAAAATTATATATATGTGCATATAAAAAAATCACATAAGTCATTACTTAAAATTCAACGAACAACTTCATATTTAAAAGATATAAGTCACATAACTATATAAGACATAAGTTCAAATACACAATAAGAGTTTAACAACTCCTATAACCAAGTTCCAAAACATCAAAAGAATAAAGTTTAACAACTCCTAAATTATATCAGTTAATTTAAATCAAACACATCATCTTACATAAGTTATACGTCCTCAATGTCCTCTTCTATTGCTCATATAACAAGCTCATTTGCAATAAAACATAATAAATTGATTCAAAATCCACCTAAGTTTGGTACTCAAACTTTTCACCAGTGGCTGCACTCTCTTCTTTTTCTGCAACAGCGATCTCTCGTGAGGGTTTTTTTTCAGATAGCTAGAAGAAGGTATTGTGCATTTTGATTTAGGGAAAATGAAAATAGGTTTTTTTAAAATAAAAATAAAAATCGGGTCATGGGTTAAAAGTTGACATAGTTCAGTTTTTTTTCTTTTTTTGGTATAAGACCTGGTTCAATTTTTTTGTTTGAGTAAAAACATTCTACTATTTTTTACCAATTTCTACTGAGGAAAGTTTTTACTTGTGTTTGAACATGCATCACTTTAGTAAAAACATAAATTTTAGTATTTACACTAATTTCTAACAACAATGGAACCAACATGTCATTAAGAGAATAAGTTAAGGCATGGAACTCCATAAAGTTTTATGAAATTTAAAATAACTCAAGGCCACCTTTAGTGAAACCAAAACTAGGGTTGGTAAAACGGGCCAGCTCGGCTTGACCTGGCCCAACCCGCATGCAACCCGAAAAAAATGAGGCGAGTTAGGGTTGGCTCGAAAAAAAAACGAGCCAGAAAACTCAACCCAACCCGGCCCAAGTCGGGTTAGGGTTGACTAAAAAATATGGCTCGTGGGTTGGCTTTAAAAAATAGCTCGCAAGTTGGCTTGCGGGTTGGCTCGAAAATTGCTCGCGAGTTGCTTATTTTCAGCCTATTTAAATGAACCTGTAGTATTAATGCACCAGCTATGTGGCTTCCATCAGCTTAAACAAAGGGTTACAAAATGAGAAATAAAAGCAAAATATTTTAGTTTTGAATTTTCTTCACAACAAATTTGCACCAACATCAAGAAATAATCAGAATCACTTGATACCAAGTGGGTAAGATATTTGAACCAAACAGGGTCAACACAGCCTAACAATATAAAAATGGCAGGATGTGAGAAGATTAGGGACTTAGGTTTAGAGAAAGAAGAAAGACGATGACAGCATGTGTGGATTTTGTCCATTTTTGTATTTTATATTTTATAATTTTTTTATAAAAAAAAAAAAACTCAACCCGCGGATTGGCTCATTTTTTCCCGTGCTGGCTCGGCTCGGGTTGACAGCCCAACTCGTTTCTGTCACCCTAACCAAAACCTCTATGAGTTAATTTCTTTTATAACAGATGATTTAATATTTCTTGTTAATTTTATATGAAAATCATATTTTAAAACATTTCCCTTTCAAATAATAAAAATCACGAAATATAAAGTGCTAGTGTAAATAATTTAATTTTATAGACTACTGCACCAAATAATACCTCTTACTATTAATATTTCATATATCCATTGCACTATCAACGAAATGAAAACCTTGACAGAACCTTCGTTATGTTTTGGGTCCTCAGATCTTATAGACAGTGGGTTATATCCCGGCTCTTAACGGAGCGTTTGGTAGAGAAGAAATTTTTTTTTAGCCGGAAATCTCAATTTTTAAAAACATGATTTTTACATTCAGTTTATGATAATATCCGTAAATTTAAAATTTAGAAAAATTTAAAGCATGTCCTACGACAACATTCATATCCAAGTTCTTTTAGTATGGCCCAACAAAACCTATTACTTTTTGTAGAAAATTTATTGATTTGTTTTAAGGGTTTTATAAGAGTTATGTTGTAAGAAAAATAATTGTATAATGTTATAGAGATTCATTTTGCGTGCCATAATTTTTTTTTTTTTTTTTGCTTTAAAAAATGCGGGTCCCACAAAATATTGTGTATGTAGGAAACTTTGTTGTGTCACAAGACATGATAGATGCAAATCCCTTGTTTTAATCCAATGATACTTTGACCTCTTTAACTTAAGATACGGCACATATGTATCCATTATTAATACCACATAGCGCATTGTGCGAATATTTATAAATTAAAACAAAATATGAAAATATAAAATAAGAAATATTTAAAATTATAATGAAAATTTGTAAAACAAATTTAAATATTTCAAATTTAAAATATAGAAGAATAGAAGTTAGGAATGACAAATGTTATTTATTTTATTTTTTTAAAGAGAGTACAAGAAGAGATTTAACCATCCGAATATATTAAAATTCTTACGGGTTTACTAATGTTAAAATCTTACAAAACTGTATCAATTTTATTTATTCCATCACTTAAAATATGAAATCATGATGCTTACGGGACATATAATCATAGATGAAGTACTCAAGAACGTCTCTCTATTCTAAGCTTCAAGCCATGTTGCATTGATAATATAGTCATCATCCTGTATTTCACTGAATGACCAGGCACCAAGTTGAATTTGTAAAATCTGCACAAAATAGCCAATACCATCCTCATCTGGAGATATGCAGAGTCCTTTCCAAGGCATATCTTTGGCCCTGCCTGTATATCCAAAGAAAAAACTAAGGTGTTTATTGCACTTCTTGGTTCAAACTTGCAATACTTGCTTTTGTATTTTTGTTATAGGAAAAGGTTATATTTACAGAGGAGGGATATTCTCACTACCAAAACTTTTCACTACCACCTTACTACCTGTCTACTCACCATTAGATTAACATTTTCTCTCTCTTCAAAAACTTTTTAACATTCTCTCTCTTTGATCCAATAGTGATGTGATGGGTAGTAAGCTAGTAGTAAGAATTTTTGGTAATTAGAATATCTTCACTCATATTTACAAACTCTTACAAATTACACTATATCTGACCGGTCATACTTCAATCAAGAGTGTATGACCAATCAGACTTAATGTAATTTGTAAAAAAAAATTGTAAACGGATCCTTCCCCTTTGTTATATATTCAAAACCAGATTAACTTACCTGAAAAGCAGTGAATTTGAATGGATATTCATTTTGGAGAATACCATCCTTGACCCATCGTTCAGGTGTAAATGAAGCTGCATCAGAGCCCCAGTTATACTCCATCCTTCCCATAGAGTATGGAACATAAGTTACCATGCCACCTGCTTTTATTTTGGTTCCATCTGGCAAGACATCGTCCTCCAAGATGCCCTTAGGATCCTACAATCAACCATTCATATTTACAAAGCAAGTTCATTAGTAAATTTTAAGCAAAAACCTTGGTGAAACTCCTCTTCCAAATTACATTAAGGTACTTTGCTTAGTAATAAATGTTAGAGATATATAATATAAAATCATTAACGTGATATTCAGGTTAAGCTTTAGGGTTGAATTGGTGTTTTATAGCATTTTAGTCCATGCCATTTTATAGAAGAATTTAAATTGGACTGCCAAATTCATTTCCCTTTGGCAGCATTAAATGAATTCTCAAGCTCTTTTCATTAGGCTTCTGAAATGAAGAACTTCTGCTTATTCAGGTCATTATGAAGAAACCTACCTTGTGACTGTCCTATAATGCTTTCTAGTAGTCATTTGAGTCAAATGAGATCAAAAAAAAATTATATAATTTTTTCTTAATGTAAAGTTGCATACCTGAGGAACAGCTGGATACAATCTTAGGGTCTCCGTTATGACTGCATGCAAATAGTGCAGTTTTTCTAGTGAATCTTTGTTCAATAACCTTGAAAATTGAGCTACTCTTTGATTGAATGATTCAGTGTCTCCTATGTCACATTGAAGCAAGGAAATATTCTCTTCGTTTGCTCGATTCTCCTCAAAAGTTTTGAGCTCTAAGTAAAGTTTGTCAGCAACATGAGCATGTGTCATTACCATATAAATGGCCCATGATACAGTTGTTGCGGTTGTGTCGAGACCAGCAATTACAAAGTTCAGGACAACATCTCTCAGACTCTTGTCTGATGCATTGCTTTCTCCCAGTTCTATGAATCTTGATAATATATCATGTTTTATCTGTTTATAAATTAAGATAAGAGTGATATATTAATATGTAAGCTTAGGTTTGAACTCCACTGCTATGTTTGGATACATGGTTTCTATGATGCTACCTGATTTTGTTGGCCATTCTTTTTAGCATCCTCTATCTCTGCCTTCCTTCTACGAATTACTGAGTAAGTGAAATCATCAATGACTTTGATGCTCTTATGAAGTTGTGCTTCTGACCCTATATTTAGAATTTTCTTAATTTTCCATAGTGGATCAATGAAGCGAATTGTTACTATGATGTTTGCAGTGTCAAAGGCCCGAGCAAAAGAATTGTCTGGTAAATTGGGAGTCAAAGTTCCAATTTCCACACCAAATCCCACTTTACATATGGAGTCTAAAGTCATTCTCATCAACAACTCCTAGAAATTGACATTGCAAGTGTTATGGACCAGAGAAAGGCCCACAGCAATATGAAGCCCAACCAACGTCAGCCCAGAGGTAAGTTCTATAAATAGGACTAAAGACCACAGGTATGACAGATCTCTCTAACCCTATTTGATTGAAGAAACGACAGTGCACACACACCCCTTCTGGCTAAAGCCATCATATAGTGTGTAGTGATCAGCTGTCCCCAGGATACCTAATTCATAGGTATCTAGAGAAAAAGCTCTAGATCCAACATCAAAGACCCGACCTTCTGTCGGACATCTGCTTCAGGCAGAACATTGGCGCCGTCTGTGGGAACAACCTACGACCACGTGATCAAGAGCCACGATGGTGAGAGCAACAAGAAGTGGATTTCGACAGCCGTCGAGATCGAATTCCAGAATCCAGCCTATTTCTCCACTCAGGGAGAATCCTCTGGATGGACGGCAGATAGATGCTGACGCCGTGCACGTGAGTGATGTGCATTCCGATTCGGCATCAACTCCAGCTGTTAACCAAGACGCTCCTTACGTGCAGGGTTTACAGCCAATGGAGGAACAAATAGCAGATACTGCACAGGCACCGATTGGTGCAATTGCTGATTCGCGGGTAACAGATCTGGCAGTTGCCACGGTGCTTCGGAGAATGCAGGAGATGGAGAGGAGACACGAGATGGAGAGGAGACACGAGCTGGAAAGGGAGGAAGCTGCTAGACAAATGCGAGAGCTGGAGGCTCGAGTAGGTCGAGCTACCAACCCGAACCCGGAGCAGGCAATAACACGAGTTATGAATGACCTACGGATTGCAGGCACCCAGGCGAACCATAATGGGGCTCAGGTCCAGGGAAGAGGAGTTGGAAATGTCGGAAGTCGGCTTCAAAGAAGCACCACCAATGTTAACCCGAACCCGAACGATGTATCCGGGGTCTACAGGAGGAAGTATCATATGGGGGAATATAATGACAGCCCCTTTGCGGACGAAATTGTGAATGCACCATACCCAGAAAACCTAAATCTGTCTGAAATTCCAAAGTATGACGGAACGCAAGACCCTCAGGTGCATTTGGATGCCTTTGATACGGCAATGTATATTAAGGGCATCGAAGAACCGCTGATAACCCGGTTATTTGCAACCACCCTGACAGGAGCAGCCCAGGCGTGGTTCTCCTCCCTGCCAGCAGGATCCATCAGGTCGTTTGAAGAGTTCGAAGGCAGGTTTTTGTTAAACTTTGCTACAAGCAAAAAACAGCCAAAATCTGAATTTGCGTTGGGAAAAATAAAGCAGCAGCCCGGCGAAACCTTGCAGAAATATCTGGACCGTTTCAAGATGGCCGCGTTACAGGTTCCTGGGCTATCCGAAAATGTTCACCTTCATTTGGTGATTGCCGGCCTTCACAGATAATCCAAGTTGGCCAAGTCCGTCTACAAAGATCCTGTACGAACTCTAGTTGAGTTCACTACTCGTTCCAAAAAATACTTGGAGCTCGAACAGATGGAAGTTGAAAACGCGGATCCAAGGCCGCACCAAAGCCAGGTAGAAAAACCTGGAAACCGAAGGCAAAATGATTTCCGGGGTAAAAAACCCGAAGAGAAAAATTTATCTAAAATAAGATTTGACAGGTATACGCCTTTAAATTCCTCTCAATCCCAAATCTGGAGGGAAGTAGCATCCACCGAGATGAGAAGGGTGGACAGACCTCGGCCACTACAGAATCAAGCTGGGCTTGATCAATCACGGTATTACGCGTTTCATGATGGCCCTGGTCACACAACCGAGGAGTGTTGGGATCTCCGAGATGCAATCGAAAGGTATATCAGGGAGGGAAAATTGCGTCAGTATCTCATCCGAACTCAAGGATGGAAGAACAATAAGAAGAGGAAAAGAGGACGGCCGATGAGCCCGAATCGAGAGAAAAAGTTCAAGGATGAATTTCGAGGTAAGAAACCGGTTAAAGAAGACGATGAATTCGTGGAGCCCGAGTTCGAGTGCAATGTTATTAGTGGAGGATTTGGTGGTGGAGGTGATACGATGAACGCCAGAAGAAAATACTTAAGAGAGGTGCTTTCAATTCGAGAGCGGCCTAAATTTAAGTTAGAAGAGCCGGAGACACCACGGCTATTCTTTACAAGAGCAGAATTGGAATATGTCATGCCAGGACACGTTGACGGGTTAGTCATAACCGGGACACTAGTTAATTGTAGAGTCAAGAAAATGTTCGTGGATAACGGAAGTTGTGCCGATGTAATTCTTTGGAAGGCATTCCAGAAAATGAACTTGGATGTGGAGGATCTGAAGCCCTGCAACACGGCTCTGATGACTTTTAATGGCTGCGACACCATTCCCAAGGGGTATATTGATCTGAGACTCACCCTAGGAACAAAAGAGTCTTACAAGTCAGGGAGAGTAAGATTCATTGTTGCCGACTTCCCATCGGAGTATAACGTAATTTTGGGAAGACCAACAATTCACGATTGGGATATGCTGGTCTCCACTAAGCATCAGAAGATTAAAATGATAGGTGAGCAGAATACGGTTATCACCATTCAGGGAGATCAAAAAGAGTCACGGGACTTATTTTAAGTCAGTCAAAACAATAAGCAGTAAACACAAGGAATCAGCCGGTTTGAGCACCAGCGGTAAACCGGAAACCTCCAAAAAGGTAGTTACTCCGGTAAACATGGTGGAGCTGGATATGAGGGATGAATCTCAGATTCCAAGACCGGAATCAGAGGGGGAATTGGAGGAAGTAGTTATTGGAGGAGAAACTCAAATTGCCAAGGTCGGAAAAGGGTTGATTGTTGAGGACAAAGCTCGAAATACTGAATGCTTAAGAAGGAATGTAGATGTTTTCGCTTGGAAGTCCTCAGATATACTTGGGGTGGACCCTCAGTTCTACTGTCATAAGCTTGCCGTGTACCCAGGGTCTAAATCGGTAGCCCAGAAGAAAAGGAAGCTCAGTACGGAGCGTCGTCAAGTGTTAGAAGATCATGTGAAGGAGTTATTGGAAGCAGGATTCATTAGAGAGATACAATATACAACCTGGCTGTCAAATGTGGTCATGGTGAAAAAGCCAAATGGGAAATGGAGGGTGTGTACAGATTATACTGACCTGAATAAGGTATGTCCCAAGGATGCATATCCCATGCCCAACATTGATCAATTAGTGGATAACTCATCCGGGTTCCAGATGCTGTCCTTCATGGATGCATATTCGGGATACAATCAGATCCCATTGCACCCAGAAGATCAGGAAAAGACCGTTTTCATTGGAGAAAAGGAAAACTATTGTTATAATGTGATGCCTTTTGGGTTGAAGAATTCAGGAGCCACATACCAAAGGATGATGAATCGGGTATTTGCCGACCAGCTTGGCAAAAACGTGGAGGTATATATAGATGACATGATAGCCAAATCAATTGATTCGGCAACGCATGTCCAAGACCTGGAGCAGACCTTCGAAAAATTGCGGCATCACAACATTCGGCTAAACCCGACTAAATGTGCCTTTGGAGTCCTTGCAGGGAAGTTCCTAGGGTTCATGCTGACCCACCGAGGTATAGAAGCCAACCCGGACAAGTGCAGAGCCGTGTTAGAAATGAAAGCCCCGGGGAATAAAAAGGAAATCCAGCAGTTGACTGGGAGGTTAGCCTCACTCACGAGGTTTTTACCTCGGTCTGCAAAAACCGCGTTACCATTTTTTAAGCTGTTGCGAAAGGAGGTGCAGTATGGCTGGACTTCAGAATGTGAAGTAGCATTCCAAGAAATCAAAAAACAATTGGCATCACCACCAGTCCTATCTAGTCCCAGAGAAGGAGAACCATTGATAATGTATCTCTCGGTGGGAGATATGGCCGTTAGCTCGGTTTTGGTCCAAGAAAGTGAGGAGGGGCAACAACCAATCTACTTTGTAAGTCGGCTCTTACAAGGAGCAGAACTTCGCTATCAGAAGTTAGAAAAGGTGGCTTTCGCCCTTCTAATCTCGGCTCGAAGGCTTAGAGCGTATTTTCAAGGGCACCAGGTTATAGTTCGTTCGGACTTGCCAATACGGCAGATCTTACATAAACCTGACTTAGCAGGGAGAATGATGGCTTGGGTCGTGGAGCTGTCAGAGTTTGACATATCTTTTGAAAGCCGGAAAGCAATTAAGTCCCAAGCATTGGCAGACTTTGTCAGGGAGCTTACTTCAATCCAAAAGGAGAGCCCGGCAAAGCCGAACACATGGAAAATTTATGTGGATGGGTCCTTAAACTCTAAAGGAAGTGGAGCCGAGGTAATTGTTGAGAACCCGGAAGGAATCTCGGTTGAGTACTCTCTGCAGATGAAATTTGAAACGTCCAACAACCAAGCGGAGTATAAAGCATTCATCGCCGGGTTGCAGCAGGCCAAAGAGCTTGGAGCGAAGAAGCTGCAAATCTTTAGTGACTCGCAATTGGTCACGTCGCAAGTCGGAGAAAGCTACCAAGCTAAAGGACCATTGCTAGCAAAATACCTAGATTCCGCAAGATAGTTAATGGCGGAGTTTGAGGAGGTAGAAGTTCGCCACATCCCACGAAAAGAAAATGGCAGGGCCGACATACTGTCAAAGCTAGCAAGTACCAAAGGATTGGGAAACCACAGGACGGTGGTGGAGCAGAATATCCTGGAACCCACATGTATCATGCAGATATCTGAGAGCATAGATTAGCGCAGCACCATTATCAATTACATAGAAAACGGAACACTCCCATCCCAAAAGGAAGAAGCTCGGAAGTTGGTTAGGGATGTTGCGTTGTATGCAATGATTGAAGGACAATTGTATAGGAAAGGCATTTATTCCGCCCTACTGAAATGCCTGAGCTCGGATAGGGCAAAATATATCCTATCCGAAATCCATGAGAGGATAAATGGTCAGCACATTGGGGGCAAAGCGCTAGCTCGGAAGGCCCTTAGAGCAGGATATTTTTGGCCCTCTATGGTTCAAGATGCAAAGGAACATGTGCAGAAGTGTGATCAGTGCCAGAAGCACAGTAAAAACCTATTGGCACTGCCATAGGAGTTAAGCTTGATCACAGCTCCGTGGCCCTTCTTCAAGTGGGGCATGGATCTTTTGGGCCCATTTGCTGCGGCTGAAGGGCAGTTAAAATGATTGATAGTAGTTGTTGATTACTTCACCAAATGGATAGAGGTAGACCCAGTGGCTATAATTACCACCGCGAGGGTGCAGCGTTTTTTCGAAAGGAATTTGGTTTG